CACGGCATCTAGAATTCCAGACCATCCCTACCTTTCCCTCTGCCAGACAGAGCTGTTCAGGCAGCTCCAGCCTGAATGAGCCCCCCGGCAAGGAGGCAGCAGTCTGTGTGGCCCGTCAGGAGACAGACTTCTGACTCCCGGCCAGGCAGGGGGATGGACCGCCTGACCCTGCGCTGCAGCCTGCATCTGTCTGCCAGGCCCTGCGGTGAACATCCCGGAGACGGGCAAGACGAGTGTTCCTCCCGGGAAGGTGAGGGCTTGGAAGGCCAGAGCCCCCTGGGTGGTGCTGGTGTGAACAAAGTGCTCTGGGGTCCAGGTTAGAATCAAGGCTAGGGCTACCAGCTGTCTGCCACCGCACACTCTGACCCCACATCCTACCTAGTCAGTGTGGATTTGTAAGTGTATTACACCGGTGTGCCAGTAGATGGCCCCAACGTGTCTCCAGGACTGGATGCCCTATGGCCTATCCCTGGAAGACATGATGCATTTACCCAGTCAGCAAACATTTGTTAAACATGTGCCCTGGGCCCGGGCCCTTTGTGCCGGATGCTGAGTTCGGTGAGCATGGAGACGCAGTTTCGGGTTTCCAGGCTCTCACAGACTAGGTGTATGGGGTCAGGGGATAGGTAAGCAATGGGTAGTTGCAACACAGGGAGGTCTCTACTCTAGTGGTTAAGGACAGTGCACTGTGGGAGCCTAGAAGGGTGACACCTAAACCAGCCTCTTTAGGGGGGTGCTTTTAGGGAAAACTTGATGGAGTGAGGAAGAGGCAGCCATGCAGAGAAGAGCAGGAGGCCATCCTGAGCAGAGAGAACACACGGGCAGAGGCTCAGAGGCATAAACGCATAGGACGTGTTTAAGGAATCGCAGAAAGTCGAGTGTCCATGAGGTGGGTGGAAAAAGGAGGAGAAACGGGCCATAGGTCAGCAGGGTCTAGCTCATGAAGGACCCACAGGGTCTGGACTGAATCCCCCAAATCAAAGTCTGGATCCCCAAGATCTTTTAAAGCATAAGGGGCAAATTCATTGTTGCCACTTAGAGGTTTTGTGAGACTGAGCAGGGACTTCTCCGTCTGGAACTTTTGGGGACTGCTCCCTGCCTGTCACCTCTCAGGGGTGACATTAGGGTCACATCAGAGGAGGGATGTGAAAGGCTTGAGGCTTTAGTTATCGATGCCATGTATCTACTGTCATTATCATCATCCATCCCTTCTTGCATCGATGGGACAGATCAGAGTGAGGTGAATACTGATTCTGTCTTGTAACCTCCGTGAGGGTAAGGCTGCATTTTGTTTATTTGTGGATCCCTGCCACATGACACCCACAGGCACAGAGTCAACACTCAGTAGTTCTCTGTTGTTGGTGTTTGCTTTTTAATATCTGTTTTTATTGATGTTTATTGATTGGGAGGGGAAGGGAGGGGGATAGAGAGATAGAAACATCAAGGAGAACATCAATCGGCTGCCTTCCCGCCTCCCCCCAGTGGGGATCAAGCCTGCAACCCGGGCATGTGCCCTGACTGGGAATCAAACCAGTGACCTCCTGGTTCCTGGGTCTACATTCAATCGCCGAGCCACACCAGCTGGGCTCTGTTGTTTTTGTTGATTCTGTTTTGGACCCTGGGCTGTAGACTTTGGAGCTTACTATGTGCCAGGAGCTGTTCTAAGTGCTTTATAAGTCTTGTCTTGCTTAATCCTCACAGCAAGCCTGTGTAATAGCTACAACAAGTATCCCCATGTCCCAGAAGTGGAAGCTGGCGCACATGGGGGTTGAGGAGTAACCCACGGTCACGGAGCAAGGGAATGATTGAGCTGGGATTGCCTCCAGGGGGTCCAGCCTGGAGCCCGGGACACTCTACCTTGTTACAGAAAAGACCAGGTGACTTTGTCACCACAACCTTGACTGGTAGATGGAATCTACCGTGACAAACAAGGAAACTAGGACCTAGTTGGGTTAAGTCCGTGGTGAGTGAATAGCGGAGCGGAGCTTTTGCTGAAGTCTGTATGATTCCAAATCCATGCCATACTCTCCAGTATTCTGGTGATTACATTCATTAATAACCACCCCCAGGTCCCAGGCTCGCCCAATACTCCTACCCAATCTAGAAGGACCCTTAATCTAAGTCCTGCCGTGGCCCTTACCCACTATACCCCTCCTGACAGCAAAGGGGGGCCCTGCCAATTGCACCCTCAGGGCTATGCAGTCTAGAGTTTCCTACCTAAAGGGACCAGGCCCAATTCCAGGGCCTGGGTAGGCCATTTCTCTGGTCCATCCTCCCAAGGCATGGCCAAGGGACAACTGTGGATGTGGGTGTGGGTGAGGGGATAAAGCTTGGCCGTGTGGCCTGGGCCGCCCACAAGCCCGCACAAGCAGCCCCATCGTCGCCAGCACAGAATTCTGGGAAGTTTAAATTCTGACTCTTCCAGGAAATGATGCAACTGTATTTGTTATGGAAGACCAGATCGACGTGCTTTGTTTAAATGTTTGCCAGCTTTAGATATCAATTTTATATACTTAATGAAGGTCTTATAGGCCTCCATTGGTTCTTTTGCCCTGGGCCCCACAAAACATCAGAGATGGGCTTATCCCAGTGATGGAGTTTGCCGACACTGTCTTCAAGAATTCGTGCTAAAATCCACAAATTAAGGGAGAAGGTTCCCTTGGCACGAGGCTCGCTTTACACAAGTATCACTGACAGCTCCTGTCCCACTAAACTCCTGCCTCGGTGACATCAGAGCCTGTGAACATTGTAAGGAAAAGTGAGACGAATAGCAGCGCTGTCCATTGGAGACGCGAGCCGTGTTGGAAAGCGATGAACTCCGCAGCATCGCGAAGTGTGGGTGGACTTCGGAGGCAGGCAGACTGAAGTTTGGTAAGAAGCATGATGTCTGTGTTGAAAGCATTCTTTTCCTCCGCAAATGAAAGGGTGAGAAGAATAGGTGGCAGCATTGATGTTCCAGGAGAAAGAATGGAAGAAGAAACTAAGAAGATTCTTGAATGTAATCATTGCAAATGATTGATTGGAACTCAATCTTGTGGCCATACCTAGCTGAATGGAGAGTTGGCGTATACATTTTTGTGTGTGCCAATCTATAAATTCTCTCACTGTGTAAAAGAAGAAAATGGGTTGGGATTGAAGAGCTGTCTCTGCCCCAGAAGAGCTTTATGGAAATGCTTAACACGGTGAGAGTGCAGCAAGTGACTAAGAACTATTCCTTTCATCAACAATTAAAAAGAGCAGATGGACCCTAGCCGGTTGGCTCAGTGGATAGAGCACCAGTCCATGGACAGAGGGGTCCCAGGTTCAATTGCAGTCAAGGACATGTACCTCGCGCTAGCTGGTTTGGCTCAGTGGATGGAGCATTAGCCTGTGGACTGAAGGGTTCCACGTTCGATTCCGGTCAAGGGCTCATGCCTGGGTTGCAGGCTCAATCCTCAGTGTGGGGCATGCAGGAGGCAGCCGATCAAAGATTCTCTCTCATCATTGATGTGTCTATCTCTCTCTCCCTCTCCCTTCCTCTTTGAAATCTATCTATCTATCTATCTATCTATCTATCTATCTATCTATCTATCTTGGTTGCAGGCTTGATCCCTGGCCCTGGTCAGGGCATGTGAGGGAGGCAACCAGTGGATGTATCTCTCTCATATAGATGTTTTTCATTCTCTCTCCCTCTCTTCCACTCTCTCTAAAAATCAGTGGAAAAATATCCTGGGGTGAAGATTAACAATAACAACAAAAAGAGCAAATGGAAACTTTTGTTACTTTTGCTTTGTGGAAAGACATCTAAACCCAGGAACACCCCAACATTGACTGCTATTTTTCAGGGTCAAGCAAAAACATAGGTGTGGATTTAGAAGGCCAGCACTCAAGCTACGTAGGCACAGTATTTCATCTCTCTGGGTTTCGGTGTCCTTGTCTATAGGAAGTAATAAATCCCTACCTCGTGGTGGTGGTTGAAAGCATTAATGAGAAAGACGACAGGTTACAGCCTGTCGCAGAGAAAACAAGTGTTGTTGTTTTAAATCTATCTCTTCAATTATTTACTCATTCAACAAATAGTAATGGAGCTCCTACTGTGTGTGAAGCCGTCTGGTAAGTGATGGGAATGGAATGACGAATAAGGTAGCTTGTTCCTGACCTCGAAGAACTGCCTTATCGTGTGGAGGGGCACAAGTATTAAACACAGTTACTAATTACACTTGTATTGCATGTTATGAAAGAAAAGTAGAGGATGACAAGAGAATACATATGAGAAGAGAGGTGAAGGAGGCCAAAATTAGGGTGTTTTTAGAGAAAAGTGGGCAAGTGGGTGGATTGAGAGATAATTAGAATATAGAATCAGTGGGGAATAGGGAAA